AACCTGGCTGTTCCGACAGGCCTGGGGCTGATGAGTTCCCATCCCCACTCGAATTGTGTGGCTGTTGACTGTTTTTAAATTGTTTCTGTATTTTGCTTGTTTGTCTTTCGCTTTTTTGTTGTATTATTCCCTCCCCTTGGTTTGTTAGCCGCTCTGAGTCCCTCCAGGAATAGGGCAGCATACAAGTTTAATAAACCTTAAACCTTGAACCTTATCATTGACTTCCCAGTTGGACCATGAATTCTATGAAATACAAGAAATCCTTTACACCTAGGATCGGCAGCAAAAAATTGTCAACACTATTTTTTGAAAAAACTCAGCAGACCCTTACAAGTAAATTAAAATTTATTTTCAAAAAAGTAAATGAGTAAAGAAAAAGTGTTAAATAAACCTTGTCTGAGAATGCCAGAATCCTGCCTATTTCAGTATTGGGAACTTTAGCAAGACTTTAAGAATTTTTTGGGGGGAGGGGGCAGAGAGCTACTTGAAGATTTGCACCCCAGCCATATAGTGAATCATAGTATAGAGTCACCTAGTTGAGTTCTTGTGGTGAAGCAAAAGAGAGTCGCTCTCTTAAATTCTAATGAAGACTCTTTCAAGAACGGTGGTAGCGCAGTGGTTAGAATGCAGTACTGCAGGCTACTTCTGCTGACTGCTGACTGACTGCAATTTGGCAGTTCAAATCTCACCAGGCTCAAGGTTGACTCAGCCTTCCATCCTTCTGAGGTCAGTAAAATGAGGACCCAGATTGTTGGGGGCTATAGACTGATCCTGTAAACTGCCTAGAGAGGGCTGTAAATAACAAGTGGTATATAAGTCTAAATGCTATTGTAATTGCTTTCCCAGCCTATATAGGGAGGCTTAAATCTAGCTCTTTCTGCAAGCACATATTTAATTACTGAGAGAAGGTCCCTACCCAGAAACAGAAATTACTGGTTTTGTTCTGGAGGAATGCATGTTGACCTTGTGAGGAATGCAGAAGAAGGAGACTTCCACTCCCATCAAATGATTACTGGGTTGCCTACAATCTCGGTGTTCCCAAAAAACCTTCCTTACCCCTTTGGGTCCAGGAGATCTCTGACTTTCTCATTATAAATCTCCATGTAGGATACTTCCACCTTAAAACTCTGCTCTTCACTCTCCTCTTGCTGGGCTCTTTCAAAAAGACTGCTACAGAGCCGAGGTATTAATCCAGGTTCATCACCTGTGCCCATCATTGTGTAGGATTTTCCAGATCCTGAATAAAAAAGAAAGAAAATATTTTTAAGAGATTAAAAATGAGTGGAAAGCCCCTGAGGCAGACATTTCATACCTTACAGAGGATAAATAAATGTTTATAGTTCTATAAACCAAGCTAAGTCTAATTGAATTTATGGACTGAGCTGGATAAATAAATGACTATAACTATCTTGTTTTCTCTGATCACATGGAAAAAATATGTAAATATACAAAACTGGTTTGTCAAATTGCATAGGTAAATTGGAGCACTGTAACTGTCTCCTTGTGCTGTTACATCAAGGTCAGTCATACCACTGTCAGGAGATGCTTATCTGGTTAATGTGGAAAAGAATCAAGCTGTAGATAAATAAGGGTTATATCTGGTTGCATCCCTACATAGCCAACATTATCCCGGATCTCCAGCTCTTTTGTTTGCTATATAAGTTAAACACAATATATCAAGGAAAGTCAAGAATAAGAAACTGCTACCATAAATATTCTCTTGCTATTTATCATTCTGTGCCAAATAGTAGCCAGTATCTTCAGTGGCTAATGGGAAAGCAAAAATGCAAGCTGTTTTTCCTCCATCACTTCCACCCTTCTCTCCCACCCTCTCATTCTCTTAACCTTACTTTCTTTCATATTACCTTTACCAAGTTGGAGCCCTGAGGAGTATAGTTAACATTAATATTTTGTTTAAAAATGTCAAAAAAACCACCTGGCTCCTAATTATAAGCCCCTCTAGTCAGTTTCATTCATTTAGCATTTTAAGAAGGACTGAACAATGTTTCTGCAGCTGGTCTCTGAAGGTTGCAGTGATTGTGGCTGTTAATAACATTAAAATAGATAAGATCAAATTTTCAGCTTTCTTCTGGCAAAACTGATGCCTGGAGCCTTGTAGAGACTCATGGAAATAGTTTTCCTCCTTAACCTCCCCCTCATAGAATTAGATCAATTTGATCCAGAAAGATTTGGGTTTTATTAATGAGAATTCTATTTCAGTTCTTAAAATCCTTCCCAAATTCTAACCTTTTGGTCTTGCTAATTTCTGGAGTGTACTAAGGACTGGGGGGGAAATCATGGGGGTCTGTAGGTTTACTGTCTTTGCTTTAAATTATGGCAAAATGGCAGAATGTTGGTGGATAACTTTAGGAAATATAACTACTTGATTCTTCAATATGTCTAAAAAGCTAAATTCTGAACCAGTCTATCTAAAGCAGAGATGGGGAATGACAGCCCCCGCCCCTGATCTAAAGGATAGTCTATTCTTCATATAATCTGCTTGTTTTGATTGTTAACTGCTCTGTGGTTGACTCAAGTTTGGTAAGTGAATATGCTGGACTAGGACTTCTTGCCTGCAATTCCCAAACTCCCTCCTTTCACCCCAACCCAATCATGCCCAAACCTTCCCATTAACTGTAAACATTCTAATATTAAGCCACTATGTGTAGTTTGTGCAGCTACTGTTAAATAGCTGCATAACTAAATAAATATTTTTTTCCCCAATTGGCTTTCAGTGTTGTATACTTGCATACTAATGAGAGCCAATTTGGTGTAATGTTTAAAGGCAGCAGACTAGAAATGGGTTCTAGAATCTGAGTTCTAGTCCAGTCATGGGTTGCTAGCCAGTTTACAGTTTGCTAGTAAGAAGCATAAGCATCCGGGCAGGTGGGCAGAAACACCACCCCACCGCCGCCGCCACTACCGGCTCGGCCGAACTGGGAGCAACCCCCTCTGTTCTAGTCCTCCCATAGCATAAAAATGTCAGGTGCAAGAAGCAGGGAACCAGGGTAGAATTCAAAAGTACTACAAGTTTATTTCATACTATCTATACACAAGAAGCAGAACGGTCAAGGCAAATTGGCACCAGATAAGAGTCAATGTACTTCAAGGATGGTGGCTAGATATAGGTCTCTTATTGGGGCATAGAGAATCCAAAGTGATGATGCATTTGACCCTGCCCTTAGGCTCAACCTAGTCATCTCTTACAAAAATTAGCTGAATGATTTTGAATGCTAGGCTACTTCCAAAATAGTTGTCAAGAAAAACCCACCAGGAATCAGGGTTGACACCAGCAGTCACTGCAACAGTTTTATTTATCAATGTTACACCAGGTCTGTTTTTCTGTTTCTGTTTTTATTGTAGTTTAGATGTGCATTAGATTACTTAAGGTTATCAATCTGTTGTTTTTTTTAAATGGGCTATATTGATAGCCTGCAATGAAGGCAATGTGAATATGAGCCATTCAAGACAGATAAGGGAGAAAATAGGATAATCTTTCTATTGTAGTGAAAAAGGCATAAGAAATCAAAACCAGCATTTGAAATTGAGAGAAGTAAGAGCCGAGGTGGCGCAGTGGTTAGGGTGCAGTACTGCAGGCCACTTCAGCTGTCTGTTATCTGCAGTTCAATGGATCTCACTGGCTCAGGGTTGACTCAGCCTTCCATCCTTCCGAGGTGGCTGAAATGAGGACCCAGACTGTGGGGGCGATATGCTGACTCTGTAAACCGCTTAGAGAGGGCTGAAAGCCCTATGAAGTGGTATATAAGTCTAACTGCTATTGCTATGAATAATTAAATTATGACTTATTTCTTTTGCCTTGATGTGTTGTTTGATACTCTTCCTAATTTGTTCAAAACTAACACATTTCCTCCTGTCCTTCAATATCCACCTTGCTAATGCTTACCAGTCTGTCCATAGGCAAAAATGCACGCATTGTAACCTTCAAAGGCATTCTGGAGAATGTTCTCACCAAGGCACTTGAAAACAACATCTTGACCTAAAATTAGAACAAAAAGAATCAAATTAAGGGGGGGGGATAAAAAATACCTTTGTTAAAACTCTCAAAAGCTTCAAACACTTCTAATGTGTGAAAACATCTAATGCTTTTCATGTGCGTCCAAAATCAATTGAGCCATCCACAATGGAAAGCACAGAGCAGATACTCATCTTAACTACACCAAGGTATCCAGTAATTTCCTTTGGAGTTGCTCTGTTTTTAACCAGCACCGGATGAATCATATTGAAGCATACCTTATGGAGGGGGGGGGGGGTAACCTGCTGACCTCAAGAAAACCAGAACCATTATTTTTGTTGCTATTGTCAAGGTTCCAAATAGCATCCTCAATAAAATAAGAACACACACCCCAAGAACCTTATGTATAGGGGTTATTCAGTTTTATATTCACAACCATTTTGTGCAATTCATTTGGGTAAGAAATTGATAGTTTCCATTAATTAAACAGGAATCTGAACTCATCTTATCCCTGCTTTTGAGTCTTTATGGTTAATTGATTCAATCTCAGCCCACAGAATTAGGCTAAAATGAGACTGAATAATTTGGAATTCAGAATATTATGGGAATCTAGATCATAATGTTAAATCATGATATATATATTTTAGGTATAAGATATTACAAACATGCAACAACTGTGCTTTGTTAACTTGAATTTAGGGTTTAACATACTGTCTAAATCTAACAATAACATCTGATCCCAATCTGTCCTTTGTAAGGTCCAGGATGTGGATATATAAAGACTACATCTTCTTCTTCTGTTTTGTTTGGATTGTTCCTTGCTTTTGTTCTCCTTTGTATGATAATAATACAAAAAAACCTTTTGTTCTCTTTTGTATGATAAGAATGCAAAAGAAACTTGGTGTCTTCTTAACTGCTGTGCTTTATAATAGAGGGAAATCACAATTGACAGCTCTTCAGAAATAGGAGTGAGTGTCTTTTGGGAAAGGGAGGGAGACCTGATGCTGGTCCTAAAAATTATTTATTTTCTTCTTTTAGAAATGTGTTGGCAATAAGGAAGCTCTCATAAGTTCTGGAGACGACGACCTTTAAATCTTTAAACCCTTTTGACAAACGATTGTGAGGCGAGAGCCATGCCAATTTTCCTCCCACCAGAGTTGTTCATCGTTACAGTGATACCTGCATATTTTTCTTTGTTAGTTTCATCCATAGACCAGAAGCAGTGATCATAGGCAAACACCTGCAGAGATATAAACAAGAAATGTATTATATACATAAATGTTTATATTTATGGCATGGTGGTTAGAGTGTGGTACTGCAGGCTACTTCTGCTAACTGCAATTTGGCAGTTCGAAGCTCACCAGGCTCAAGGTTGACTCAGCCTTCCATCCTTCCAAGATGGGTTAAATGAGGATCCAGATTGTTGGGGGCAATATGCTGACTCTATAAACCGTTTAGAGATGGCTGTAAAAGCACTGTAAAGCGGTAT